CGCCCTCCCGCGCCGCGGCCCCCAGCCCCGCGGGCCAGGTGGCCTGCGACCACTGCCTGAAGGCGGCCGCCATCAAGACGTGCCTCGTGTGCATGGCCTCCTTCTGCCCCGAGCACCTGCAGCCGCACCTCGACAGCCCCGCCTTCCAGGACCACCCGCTGCAGCCGCCCGTCCAAGACCTGCTGCACCGCAAGTGCCCCCAGCACAACCGGCTGCGCGACTTCTTCTGCCCCGAGCACAGCGAGTGCATCTGCCACGTCTGCCTGGTGGAGCACAAGACCTGCTCGCCTCTGCCCCTGACCCAGGCCAGCGCTGACCTGGAGGTAGGTGGTGGCGGCGGGCGGCGCGGAGGGGCGGCCTGGACCCGCTGGGTGGGGCAGAGGCCGCCTCCGTGGGCATCTCTGCCTCCCCTGGATCTCGGGGTGGGCGGGATGGGCCTTGCGGAGCCTGAGACCCGGGACAGAAACACAGGCGATGCCGCTTGACTTAAGCCTAGTACTTGGCTGATGGTGTTAATAGAGGGTTTTGAACGTCAAATACGAACCCTGGCGGTTCCCTCTGTTCCCTCATTGAAACCCTGGCAACACCCAGGAGGTGGGTATAATTAGTTCCATTTTTCAGCTGCCGAGAAGTTTATTTAGCTTGAGGAACCCAGTGAGTGGCCAGCCAGATACTGAGCCCCGTCGGATTTGACTCCACAGTTTGCCCAGTCTCCCCAGGAACCAGCCTCATAACCAAGACTAGAGTCTTGGGCATAAGACGCCCCTGGACAATTGAGGTCATGTGAGCAAGAGGCTTTGGAGAGCTGGGGAGTTCCAGGACTAGGGAGGATCCCTGTGAGTGGGAGGAATTCTTGGATATAGCCCGTTGGCAGGGAGAGCCAGCTCTCTTGCACCATAGTGCCCTGCATGCTGGCTGTGTGACTGTGAGCACAGGATTTGGCCCCCGGGCCTTAGTACTTATCGGTAAGCTGAGGAGGTGGGACCTAGTTGACTCCTAAGGGGCCTTCCGGGTCTGTGATGACTGAGTGCTTTGGGGGATGGTAACTCCCACCTGTGGACTCAATTAAGGCAGAGGTTGAAATGTGTAATCAGACCACCTTTTATGTCAGTCTAAGCTCCAAAGCACTGTCACCGAGAACGAGGACTGTCTTCAACCAGTCTTTGTGCCATCAAAGCAGACCTGGGGCCTGGGGCAGGTTTGTAGTGGCACCAGGACCTGAGTGCAGGCCTTGCTTTTTTCTGGCCACAGCCCCTCCCCTTCCTGGCCTGCTTCTCCCCGTCTGAGCTGGGTTCCTATGGACTTCTCCCTGAGCCTCAGAAGCCAGACCTCTGGGCTCCGCCTGGAGGTGCAGCCATCTGAGGCCCAGCCCCCTGGGTCTGCTCTTCCTGTCTCTGGAGCCCTGCTCTGCTCCCTATCAGCTGTGGTTTAGGGCAAGTCACTGCAGTCCCTGAGCCTCGTCTGTAAAATGGGATTACTGGCATTCCTTCCCTGCCTGTGCCTGCGAGGGTGGTTGGGAGGCTGCGGGGAGAGCAGCTGTGTGGGAAGTGCTTTGCAGGCAGGCCCCAGTGTCAGGAGTGGCTGGTTGACACCCAGAAGTTGAGGCCTGCCTTTGAATTCTGGCTCTGCTTCCTAGCTGGGAAATCCTAAAAGGGGATAGTAGTGCTTATCTCAGAGGGTTATCTGGAAGATTAAATGAAGCCACCTATGAACGGTGTTTTACAGCGAATGCTCATTTCTGTTACTCCACCCCGTGGGGGAGGAGAGCTTGCTGAGCATTGAATGTCAGGCTACCCAGATCCGGGCCTCAGGAGGGTGCCTGGACCCTCCCCTGGAGACTGGGGCAGCCTGGCTCCTGCCGAAAGACCTTTCCAGAAGTTCTTATCCATGGAGGCAGAAGGCAAGTAGGGGCAGGAGGACCCTTCGTAGCTGGTCCCAGAACCCCAGCTCTCTCAGCCTCCAGGGCCGGAGCTGGAGTCTGCGCCCAGTTTATTAGTGTGCCGTACACATTTCGCTTTTTGATTCTTGTAACAGGCCTTCCTTAGCCATCTCCCCCGTTTCGCCATTGTCCTGGTTGAGTCCTTTAACCACTCTCCTTTTCCAGCCCCGCTGCTCTGGGGCAGAGCCAGCCCCAGCCGGGCAGTGCCCCAGCCTTGGGCGGCTGGCCGGTCTCCATCACCAGGGCGAGGCAGACTCGGGACTCTGTTACCTCCCACGTGGAGGACCCAAGTCCCCAGTCTGTGAAGGGATCCTCAGAACTTCAAAAAGTTCTCTACCCTTGATTAGGGAATTGTCGTGGCTACTAAAGTCCTTGGACCACTGTCCTTTTATCTGGAGCCATGTGGGCCCTTTTCCATCATCAGGGGACTGTTATGTCTGTTTGATTAATGATGGATAAGATTTTCCAAAACACAGAGTTTAGGAGTTCACTGCTAAGAGTGGCTCTCAGGAAAACAGTTGGTAGCCCCCTGGAGGTTTGTTGTAGCTCTGAGACCTGCTAGGCAGGACCTGCCTGGGCCTGGCCTTCAGCCTTCGGCCCAGTTTGTCTTGGCCACTCTCAGAGGCCAGCTCAAAGGGCACTGTCACAGAGGTCGAGCCTGAACCATAATCAGTGACTTGGGTCGAGTTCGTGTGGTCTTGGACTCTGCTTCTGCTCTTCCACATGACCTTCACCGGGTGGTTCAAATCCCAGTTCAAGGTCAGGTTCAGCCCTGAATAACTCTAGTGGAGTGGGAGAGGCAGGAAAGAGGAAGGGAGGGTCAGAGTATGTTAAGCCAGATAATTAGGGGAAGTAAGAATGTTTTGTTTTTTTAGAAATTCTAAATGTGCTCAGCTTGGACGCAGTAATTGTAACACCAGGATCTTGTAACACCAGTTAACAGGGATGTGACCTAGGTCAAACCGCTCCATTATTCTGTGCTTCCATGTCTTTTCTACAGAGGGCAGTGAACTCCGACTTCACGGTTTCATCCTTAGCTTTAGATAAGTTAATACAAGCAAAGCACTAGAGCAGCGCCTGGCTTGCAGCAGGCACATGATAAACTCTAGCTGCTATTATCATGGTGGTGGTGGCTCCTTTCCTTCCCGTTTCTGTGCCCCAACGTTTCATCTGAGCAGGGAGGTAGGGGACTCAGATATCGATTATGAAAATTTATAGAAATACTAAGAGGTCTTGGGTGATATTACCTTTCTCCAAGCATAATTTGCCTTGGTTTCTGGCGGTGGCTGGGGGCCTAGCAATTCTGAATCATCTTCATTCAATTTCAGGGACTGAGCTTATCATGGGCTGGTCTGGTCTGCTGCTGGTGTATTCTTAATTCATGGGGTGTGGCCCTAGGAGGTGCTGGCCTTGGGGGGGGGGGGCTTACCAAGACGTGCCCTTGACCAGAAATCGAACCCACGACCCTTTGGTGCACAAGCTGATGCTCTAACCACTGAGCAACAGGGGCCAAGACTGGACTCTGCTTTTTGTCCCCCTGCCTCCCTGAACTGACAGAGGCTCTGCCAGCTGTCTTCTGGAATTGGCAGATGGCTCTGGGAAAACAACCCCAGATGCCAGGCTTATCTCTCTGGGTTTCTTTCTCCTGGATCTTGGCTCTGTCATCCTTCCCTGTCTGCTTTTCTGGTTGCTTGCTGTGGGAGGGTTGTTTGAATGACCTCATTTGCCATTACTGAAGCAGCTGTCCCAGCTTGTTCTGTCTCTGTATGAGCTTGGCCACCTTGCAGTCCTTTTGCCTCAGTTTCATCACTTGTAAAATGGGTGCTAGTGAAAAAGCTCATAATCATACAAGCTGACATGTGGTTTGTCCTTACTGAGATCCAGGCACTACTAGGCTGAGGACTTCAGTTGTTTCAGTTACTCCTCCTACTAGCCTTGCGAGGTGGGAACAGGTGTATCTCTTTGGTGGCCAAGGAGACTAGGTGAGAGACAGACAATTGGACAGCTGGGAATTGGGACCAGCACCCCGGCCTCTCTGGCTGCAAATCCTGTATTCGTAACTTTTTTACAGTATTGTTTCCCTAAAAGAATGAAGGGAGGTAGTAAATATGAGAATGCTATAGAAAGCTACAAGCAGGCAAGAGTTGGGGTGTCGGAAACACCTGTAGAATAGATTCTGGGGGCGGTGCCTGGTGTTGGGTGCTGGTGGGGGCTGGGCCGAGGTGTTCTCTCACCCTGGTCTGCTTTCTCCGCAGGCCAAGCTGAGGCATAAACTGACGGTCATGTACGGTCAGATCAACGGTGCATCGAGAGCGCTGGAGGATGTGAGAGCCAGGCAGCAGGATGTGCGGGTGAGTGACAGGGCTCTCCACCACCAGCCCTGGCCCTGGGGCCACCCTCCGCCTCCAGGCAGGACAGGCTCAGCTGTGGGACTCCACGAGGCTCATGGTGGGTTCATTCGTTAGCTGTTGCCAGGTTGCTCTCCCAAGCGGCCATGCCCCTTTGTGCTCCACGGATGGCCAGTGCTTGGTCCCACGGGCGTAGCTTTCTGCCCTTCTGATGGATGCTCTCTTGCCTTGGCTTCTTAGGAGACTGCGCAGAAGAAGATAGAACAGCTTAGACAGGAATACCTGGAAATGAAGGCCCTCATCGATGCCTCTGAGGCCAGCTCCACACGGAAGATAAGGGATGAAGAGAAGAGAGTCAGCAGCAAGTTCGACACCATCTACCAGATCCTGCTCAAGAAGAAAAACGAGATCCAGGCCATGAAGGAGGAGATTGAAGCTGCGCTGACCAAGGGGGGCGAGTTCGAGTTTCTGGAGGTGGGTCTTGATGAGGACCTCGTTGAACACTCTTCCTGCCTAGCCTGATGTGCTGGTAAGGGCACTGGGGCCTCAGGGAGTGTGGTCTGTGAGAGGTCACTGAAAGCACCCCTGAGACACACGTTGTGTTAGTTTTATTTTATTATTTTAAAAAATATATCTTTATTGATTTCAGAGAGAGAGAGAAACATCAATGATGAGAGAGTCATTGATTGGCTGCCTCCTGCATGTCCCCCATTGGGGATGGAGCCCCGCAACCCGGGCATGTGCCCTGACCGGGAATCCAACCACGATTTCCTGGATCCAAGGTCGATGCTCAACTACTGAGCCACACCCAGTCGGGCTGTATTTGTGTTACATGCTGTGTGACAACTTACCACAAACGTAGTGGCTCCGAACATACATTTACTGTCTCACGCTTCCCACGGTTTGGTAGTCTGGGCATCGCTTAAGGGGTTGTCCTTTTAGGGTCTCTCACAAGCTGCACTATGAGTGTTGGGGGAGCGGCATTCCTTTTGGAGCTCAGGTTGTCTTCCAGACCCACTTGGTTGTTGGTGAAATACAGTTCTCTATGGTGCAGGACTAAGGTCCCCACCTCATTGCTGGCTGTGCACTCTTAGTTCCTAGAGGCTGCCGCAATTCCTTGGCACATGGCCCTCTCCTAACTTGGCAGCTTCCTTCTTCAAAGCCAGCAGGGGAATTTCTCCCCCCAGGAAGGCCCAGTCCTTCTTTTTAGGGCTTTTACCTGATTAAGTCTGGCCCACCCAGGAGACTCATCTTTTTGATGAACTGAAAATTAATAGATTTGGGCCCTGGCCAGTGTGGCTCAGTTGGTTGGGCATCACCCATGCACCAAAAGGTTGCTGGTTCAAATTCTCAGTCAGGGCACATGCCAGGGTTGCAGGCTTGATCCCCAATAGAGGGTGTGTATGAAGCAGCTGATCGATGTTTCTCACATCGATGTTTCTCTCCCTCTCCCTTTCTCTCTCTAAAATCAATAAAAAACATACTAAAAAAAAAAAAAAGCCCAACAGATTTGAGATCATGATTATCTCTGAAAAATTTCTTCACATGCACTGTCCTGCTTGTTCTTAAGGGAGGGGATTATATAGGATGTATACCTTAGGGAGGGTGTGGGACTCTTGGGGGCCGTCTTAGAATGTTGCCTACTGTATACACCTACCTCTCTTCCCCAGTCCCCCCTCCACATGGCCCCTGGAAGTGTCTCTCTTAGGCACAGAACCCCCCGCCCTTGATAACCTGGCCCTCCCTTTTTGCCAGCAGCCTCATTTCTTGCCACCCACCCCAGCCCATGCTGCTCTTTTTCCAGGGCAGCTCCAGTTTCCTCTGTCCTCTCTGGACCCCATGATTTTGCCGTTACAGCCCAGAGCGTGTTCCCTGCCTCTGCTAAAGCTCTCGGTGCCGTTGTTCTAAATGCGCTTGTTTTCATGTCAGCTCCTTTCGGGTGTGGCCCATCCCTTTTGCCACCCTTCTTCTTCCTGGCGTGTCCAGCGCCTAGCAGGGTGCCTGGCGTGCAGTGGGTGTTCTGGTGAGCCCATTGATTGGGCAATGTGTTATGACCCCTCCAAGGCCCAGATTCCTTGTTCAGGTCTGGGGGAGGGTACGGGGTGACTGGTCCTTCCTAGGCTGGATGGCATTAAGTTTCTTCTCACCCGCTCATTCCGGTTTGTTGGAGTAGCTGTCTCGAGCTCTCCGAGAAGGATTGTGAGTCCACCTCTGGGCCTCTTGATGCTATGTGACCTGATTTTTGTCTCAAGGTTTGGGACAGTCCGTGAGACCCTTCCTTTTCACCGGGTGTGCCTTAGCTGAGTCCTGCACCCTTGAGACTTCCCAGTCCATATCCAGAACCTGTGTTCAGAGCTGGTCCTGAGTCTCTTGTACTTCTTCAGCCACAGCTGGAGGAGGGGAGGGAGCATTATCCATGGGGATCAGGAGGCCTGGGCCCCAACTTTGTCTCTGCCACTTGGCAGAGTTCCTGGCACGTCATTTATTCCCTCCCTCCCTCCCTTTTTTTTAAGTAAATATGTCTTTATTGATTTCAGAGAGAGGAAGGGAGAGGGGGAGAGAGAGGTGGAAACCTCAATGATAAGAGTCATTGATCGGCTGCCTCTTGCACGCCCCCTGCTGGGGATTGAGCCCGCTATCTGGGCATGTGCCCCGACTGGGACTCAAACCAGAACTTCCTGGATCAGAGGTCGATGCTCAACGTCTGAGCCACACCGGCCAGGCCACTTGTCATTTCTAGACTTCAGTTTCTCCCTCTGTTGGCAGCAATCTCTGAGGGTCCTTCCAGTCCCAGATCGCTGTCTTAAAAGTGGCACTTAAACCCCCAGCGGCCTCTGGCCTGTGCTCTGAGAAGGCTGATGGAACTTCCCGCCTGAGGGCACAAGGAAGTCCCCTCGTCCCAGGTTCTTGAGGCCTGAACCCAGGCCCTGGCTTCATGGAGCTGCCTACACTAACCCCCCCGCTTGTTCCAGAAAGCAGCAAAACTGCAAGCAGTCTCAACGAAGCCAGTCTACGTCCCCAAGGTGGAGCTGAATCAGGAGCTGATCAGGGGCGTCTGCCAAGGCACCATGGACCTCAAGAGCGAGCTGAAGCGGTACCTCAGGCAGTCGCAGGACAAGAAGCTCGAGGAGCTCACCAACTCAGGTAACGGTCAGCAACCCACTCCCGTGGCCCCCATTGGGACCCAGGAATCTGGATGGGCCCCCTCAGCATCTTGGTGTGCAAGAGAGGGCCTTGATCCTGAGCATTGGAACTTAGTTTCAGGGGTCCTGACACATCTGCCCTCCATGAGGAGGTACTGGGAAGTCTGCTTCATCCTAAAACATTTTGGGAGGCTTGATGTTATGATGGGAGTTTCTGGATGGGCCTGTTTTGCCTGTGATCTTGAGGTTGACTCTGATGGGTTTTGAATGGACTCTGGGTTGTTAGTGTATTTGCTGGAGGAATGGCTAGTTTGGAGGTCAGAGAAACCTGGAATTTCTCCTAGATAACCCCCTTTTCTTCCTCTCATATCCAGATATCTCCTGACTTGGTCCACCTGTCCCCCTGCCTGATCTCCACTGCCATCAGCTGTGGCAGCTTCCTAAATAGCCCCTTTGCATCCACTCCTGCTGTAGCCAGCAAGAGCTTTTTAGGATGCACATCTGATGTCCTGGAACTTTTCCCCTCACCCCCTTCAGGGGATACCTGTTGCTTTTAGATTATAGACTAGACTCTTGACCCTGGCCTCCAAGCCCCTGCCTGGTCAGGGCCTGTCTCTCCGCCCTGGAGGGGCCCCTCCTCCAGCGTATCCCTCAGTGTTCCGTTCTTCAAATATGCTAAGCTGCTTGCCACTGGGCCTTTGTACATGCTCTTCCCACTGCCTGGAAGGCTCAGAATCCACCATCTTCACCAGGTAACTCCTCTCACCCTTTGGAGATTGGTCAAAATGTTACAATTCTCAGAAGACCTCCCTATCACTGTTCCCACTCCTCAGACTAAGTCCCGGGATCCTTATCACCCCGTGGCGCCCTCTGCACATCAGTCGTTTTACTCTTGCCCTTCCCGCTGTCTGCCTCCCAGATTATGATCTGTGAGGCCAGGGCTGGGCATGGTTTTCATCCACCACTCTCCCCAGTGCCTAGTGCAGAGCCTGGCTCACGGCGAGTCTTTGCTGCGTAACCCGGGAGTGGGCTTGAGTTTCAGCTTGGCAAGCCCACAGCCTGGCAGAAGGGCCTCTGGAACAGGTGCCGCTCGGCCCCATGGAGGGTAAAGCTGTTGACAATTAGCCGCCCTGCTACCTCAGTGATCCCTGATCTGGGGGAGAGGGAGGGTGAGAGCAAACCCAGAGGGAAGGAACTCCAGGCATCTCTGTCTCATCACTGAGAGCAAGGGCCGCATCCCTGTGCGCGCTGGAAGAAACTGAAGCTCAGAGGGGGGAGCGGTCACAGAGCTGGGTGCTGGTGGAAACCAGCCAGGGCCCCAGCTACATTTTAAGCCAGAGAAGAGAGGGAACACCCCAGACTGGTCCTCGTATGACCTGGCTTCTAGCTCTTGTAGAAGATGGGAAGGTGAGAGTGGATGGGATGTGGAAGTGGCTGTCTTTGTAAACCCACTACTTGCCCCCTTGCCTGTGGCAAAGCTGGCTCCTGGGGTGGTTCGGAGGAGCCCCATAAACGAACAGGAGCCCCATAAACGAACACCTTCTTTTTTGGCACAGGGGACCCTGCAGAGCATGTCACGGCGTCCACGTCCAAAGCCACACGCCCTGGGAAGAAGGTCCCGAGTAAGTAACCCTGTGTCCTCGTGGCAGTGGCATGGCCGTGACTGGCCGGGGCTCTGGCTGAGACACTCACAGGTGTCACTGCTCCTTCCAGATGGGCACAGTCCCTCCCAAGTCACTGCAGGGCCTGAGTGGAGGTTGAAGGGGCTTTGACGGGACCTCTGCTGGGCACCTGTGCAATCTGGTCCATGAGTGTTAGATATTCAGCTGCCTGGAACAGCAGGATTAGATATTCGAGCTGCCTGGAACAGCAGGGTTACCAAAGCTGGCTTTACTGACATGTAAAGCACTTGGGCGGAGCCTCCTTGCACTTGGGCAGAGCCCCCCCCCCCCC